TCCTGATTTTTTATTTTTTATTTTAATTTTATTAATATATATATTTAATAATTGAATATTTGCAGTAAAAGTGAGAGGGGCCTTTTTGAATGGGTAAGGGCCTACGTAGTTGGGTGCAGATAAGAGATATGGGGGCCTATGGCAATTTTAATTGTACAGAGGCCCTTTAACCTCAGCCCAAAAAGTGTTTTGTCGTATTCTCTTCAGTTTACAGCTCAATCTCATCTTTCAAGGACCCATTATTTACTCTTGAGTCCTTTTATTATGATTAATTTAACGTTTAAGTCCTAGGCTTTAAATTTTCTAAGATTAATATGAGGAAAATACATTTAATTTTTTATTTTAATGAGTAAAACAGGAAGAAAATACTCCTTATTGATAGGAGGATGAATAATATTTTCCCAAAGTATGACCATTTTTTTCTTTTTCTTTTTTTGGTTCAATTTTTTGGAAGTTATTTTTCCTCTTTTCTTTATTTCCCTTTTTCTTTTTTGGGAGATTTGGTTTTTTTCCTAAAAGTCTTTAGTACAAGATTTCTTTTGAAGTAAGCATTCCTAGCTTTATACCAAGTGATGATCTATCTAAAATAATAAAATATTTTGTGCCTCCAATATGAATTGTCATGTCAATTTGGAGCCTAGTCATGTGCAATTGGCAAAAGATATATATACCAAATGTTCAATTTTCAAGATTTTGTTGGAGCGGGTAGGAATTATTTTTTCTCAATGCCATAAGATAGTATTATTCTTTTTTTTTTTTCTCAATGATTAATATAATTTTGTTTTCATCATTTGGGTTCAATTAAGTGTTTGCAAATTACAATTAGTAGGCCGTGCGGAGTAAAAGAATTTTTTTTACTAGTTGAAAGTTAACTTTTTTATCATAATTTCGTTACATATATCTTCTTATGTATACGGTTATTTATCTGTTACCTCAGGTGTAGCGTGCTTATAAATGATAAACATTTATTATGCAATTCATCGAGTGTAGCATAGTATAAACTTGTATTTATACTATTTGATTGACTCGTCATTTCATTTTAATAAAGTTGTTTTGAGGTGGTAAAAAAGATTGTGGCAGACATGAAGAAATAGAGACCGGACTTGGTTGCCTGAAATTTGCTTTTGTGCACGAATGGTAGAATCGTACTAGTGGTGGATCAACCCATTTTCCATGGTGGAAACTCATAAAACCACTTTCGAATATTCCTTTTCCTTTCTTGGAAATTGAAGTGTTTAACTACTTTAATGTTTACCAGGGCTGATGATGATAATTACTTAGATCACCTAGGGTAGTGTAGAAAATGAACTGGGAGAGCAAAGCGGATCAGTAGTTTGACAACTTGTTTAATTACTTTAATGTTTACCAGGGCATTATCGTAAGTAACAGTGCCAAAAAAAGAAAAAAAGGGTAAATTACACCCACACCCCTGAGGTATGCTTAAATAACTTTAATGTCCATGTGGTATTGATAATTACACTCTCTCCCTTGAAACGTAGTTATAAACTCTAATGCGATAATGTATTGGATACGTTATTACGATAGAGTTCTAACGGACTATTGAATTCATGAAGTGGTGAAGACAACAAAGAGTTATGAGTGATTTAAGAAATATTGGGGGATCCATTTCACCCCATAACTCCCCATAATTCTATGTTATCTCCATTACTAGCTAAAAATAATATTCTATTAGAACCCTATCGGAACAATGTATCCATTGCATTTTCCCGTTAGAGTTTCTAACTACGTTTTAGGGGGGTGAGTGTAATTATCGATATCATAGGAACCTTAAAATTATCTAAGTATACCATAGGGGTGTGGGTATAATTTACCCCAAAAAAAATTTTAATTAATTATTACATAAATTAATATGGACATATATTTGGTACCAACATTTTCCTATTTGGGCCCTGCAACTGCTGAATAAGTTTTTCATATTTGGCCCACTAAGTCAATTCCTTGCCCATATATTAGGCCTGTCACGGATATTAAAAAAACTTATTAAGGCATTGTTAATTTTTTTGTTTAGTAATAGTATTTCTCCGAAAATATATTTATATTTATTAATATTTTTAACAATTTTCCTCAAATAAATTAAAAAAATAAATTCTTATCCTCCAAACATGAATTTACCGTTACGGTTAAAAATGTTAAAAAATATGAATACCTATTTTCCAAAACCTAAGGACATGATTTAAGTATAATAGTTTATGTTTCCTTTCAAAATATAAACCAATATTATTTTCGTTCTCGAATTTTTATGCTAAACAAAATGAAAATTAAATAAACACCACGCCAAAAATTGCCTTGTGAATTAAATAAATATGAATTGACTAACTAACACCTATACATAGAGTTGGGCAAATTAAATTTAATTAAATCTTTGAGTAAATAGCTGTAAAGTGAGATAACCATTAAGTTGTAACCATAAGAGAAATGTCTCAACAAACTATGTATACATAGATTATAATAGTTAAGTCTTTAAAACTCGGATTAGGCACTTAACAAATCTCAATGGACTATATATAGATCATAATAATTAATTAAATTGGCAAATTGAGTTTTATCTAACAAGAAGTTAGATAAGTTCTTACACAATATTCAACATTTGTTACATGTACATTGTCTGAACAGATTTTGGGGTTAATGATGAAATGGACATAGAGCAAATTAATAACTCTATTACATTATTAGTGTTGGATAGAGTTGATGTGTGGTGATGTTTTTTTTTTGTTTGAGGATATTTAATGTGGTAAAGTGACATATTTCAACTAATTTCGGCTGGTTTATTAGAGTTTGGTAACACAATGTTTTGGCTGGTTATAATCCAATGCATATATTTATTAAATTAAAAGTATTTGTGAAATAAACCGTTTTAGTAGGTATGACCAAATTATATGGACCAATACCATCATGCATGTGACCCTTTAGGGAGGTGCCCTCCCTCTTATTTTGCAATGGGGTTGTTTTGCAATCTTCGTCCCCGCCTCGTCTCAAAATTTCTATCTCTATCTCTCTAGAAGTACTTCTTGGGTATTCGTATCCTGTCCCCATGAATATTATGTGGGTACCGCCGGTACCAGTGGCAGAGCCACCCTTTGGCAAGGGTGGGACTGGAAAAACTTAATAATTTATACTATATATAGCTTATTGTATATTTAGACCATCAAAATAATCTAAATTAGCCCACCCACCAAAACCCAAAATATATTTCTTAAAACTAATGTTATTTTGTATAGTTAAACAATTACTTGAAGACATTTCAAGAGAAAAAATCACCCCCTTTGTGTGAATGAATCGGGAAAAAAAATCATGGGTGCTACTCCCGAATCCCCGTAAATTCTAAACCCACCCTAATTGGAATTTTTGGCTCCGCCACTGGCTAGTACACATCTGTTAACTCTCTGAAAAGTTATATATAAATGTATTTTCGGGGCAGAGCAGGACAAGTCAAATTGTCATTCCTACGTTGCAAAAGTTCAAAACTTGTACAAGAACTTGGTCAACTTCTCTCCATACTTGTGGTTTAATTTTAATTGCTTCCAAGTAAAAACGTTTCTTCATAAGCACGACAACAAAATGTAAGAAAATTAAACACTTAATTTGATATGTTAGTTGAGACTTGAGAACCCCCATATCTAACTTCTTGAAACTTGGATGATAAAATATATTCGAGCTAATTGCAAATACCTCCCCTGTGTAATCTCTAATTGTCAAATACCCCCTGTCAAAAAAAAACTCACCAACGCCCCCCTGTGTAACCAAAGTCAATGCATCTAGACCCCTTAAGGCAAATCGTGTCTCTCACGCGCGGGCTCTGCGAATTTTTATGTTATTTCTAGGGTGAAATGTCATAAATACCCCTGTATAAATAAATAAAAAATCTGAGTGGTCAAATTATAAATAACTATAATTTATAGGACCAAATTGTAAATTTTAAAATTTCCAAAATTGCAATAAGGGACAAAAATTGAAGATTTTTTCAGATCTTCTTCTTCGTTTCACTCCGCCGCCCACCTCCCAGCCCGGAAAAACTTCGGCATCACCGCCGCTTCTCGCCCGTCTAGCACCACCGCCGCCTTCTGGACCGTCGAGCACCACCGTCGCTCTCTGGCCTGTCTCGCACCACCGCCGCCTTCTGGATCGTCGAGCACCGCCGTCACCGTCTTTGTTCAAATTGCAGATCCACTGCCATAGGAATAGTGAAATTGGAGGAGAATTGTACTACGCGAATGTCGGGGTGAAAGAAAGATGAGCCGGTGGTGGGGCAGGTGCGTGGGGAGAAGAAGTGTTGATTTGGGTGGTCGGTGGGGTGGGGGTGGGGTGGGGTGGGGTGGGGTGGGGCGGAGCGGGGAAGAAGAAGAGCTATTTTTGCTCTTTTTTTTGTTTTCTTTTTTTTTTTTTTAATTTAAATTAAAATTTAATATAAAAAAATATAAAACATATAAAATCTTTTAATACAACAATACATGTTTAATTTCTGTTAATATTTTATAATTTCAAAATTATTAATAAATAATGTTTATAAAATTAAAAATAACTACACAAAATTAAAAATAATTGTCTAATAAATTTTGGGTTTAATTAAATTAATAC